AGGTGTGATCTACCTTATTGCTGACCTGGGTTTTTCAGGGAAAACATCGAACGTATCCGTGCCGTTTCTGAGTTCCTCGGGACCCTCGCTATCCCATGGCTTTTGATGGGGGACTTCAACGTACCTGTGAGTGACATGGACCTGTCTGGTTTCCCTAAGCTTGCACGTGCACGCTGCTTAGTACCTGACGATGTCGAGGTTACTTGTACCCAGGGCCGCGGCACACTTATTGACTATGTTATCGCCTCGAGCGACTTGGCCGATTTCGTACATGTAGGTACTTATACTCAGAGCCCTTTCAAAACGCATGTCTGCCTTAAAGTATGTATACAACATGAGGCTCTTGAACAATAGATGTGGCAACGTGGTAAGCCGTTACCTTTCCCTAACTGTCCTGGGCCTGACTTACCCTGGTCGCAGCATTTCCTGGCGTCTGCTGCTCAGCTCGGGCGTGAAGATGTGCTGCCTGATGTCCCTGGGTATCTTTACAATGCATTGGTGCCGCATGCTCAGGACAATTTAAACGATAAGCTTACCACTCCTTATCGCACTTGGTCTAGGGCGACCGAAGCCATGTTTGAGTCTCGCGCGGTTGCAGTTGACCACAGTGTGAGCCGGGTAAAACGAAGTGAATTTCCTGTTTTTCGATGCTCAACGATTGGACGGAGGGGCCCTGCTGGCCAGAGTTTTCGTGAACCTGAACTCGCTTTTTGGGCCCAGCTGTCGCAAAAGATGTTCGAGTATCGACTTTACCTGGCACGTAAGTCTGATCGGATGGTCGCGAGCGTAGGCAGCGTCCTTCAAGGTTTAGCGTCGCAGCTGGACAAATACATCAATGCCGACGATGCGTACGGCATTGGCTGGTGGCGCGCCCAGTTTGTTGCTCTTCCCACTGAGGTCGAAGGCCTCGACGCCCTGACGGGCGCTATTTCTACTCGCGCGTGTGCTGCCTGGAAGGCCGCACGGAGCTTGTCCAGGGCTCGCATGAAAGACTGGCTCCTGAAAGCCCTTCCCAAGGGTGCTAAAAAGGTGCATGCTTGGTTGAAGCATGATCTTGGGGATGCGCCCCAAGTTTTGTTGACCCCTCAGGGGGTCCGCCAGCTTCCTGGGGATCTCCTGAACTATCGGCAGGCTTTTCGGAGCCAGGTTTGGAATTCCCCCGATGGTAGGTCTTTGCTCTCTGGAGTGCTTGACGCGCTCAGACCTCGCGCCCTCGTGTCCCTTGAGATGTTGGACCCCTTGGAACCCATTGATATTTTGAGGGCGGCGAGGTGTTTCTCCAACTCGACTGCTGTTGGGGTCGACTCCTGGGCTCCTAGGGCTCTGGTTGATTTACCTCGGGATGCTGTTTTGGGGTACACGCATCTCCTCAATCAGTGTGAAGCTTCCTTGTCCTGGCCGTCTCAGGCTTATCTGAGTGTTATTGCCTTACTTCCCAAGAACATTGAGTGTGATCGTCCTATTTGTAAATGCCCTACCCTTTACATGGTCTATTGCAAGGCTCGGAATTCTGATCTAGATAGATGGACTTCAGACAGGCACAAGTATTGGGACACCGCTGTGAGAGGATCTAGTGCACTCCAGGCTGTCTTACTTCGTGAGCTTGGTCACGAAGTAGCCCTTATACTTGGGATCTGCTCGGTCGGAGCCCATTGGGGCCTCAAGCGGGTTTTTCGACTCTGTCCACCCGCACAGGCTGATTGAATTGGCTGTGAAGATGGACTACCCGCTCCACCTCCTCTACCTCGGTATCCGGATACATGAGTCCCCCCGAGTGCTTGAGGTTGGTGGTTTTGTGTCGGATATTATTCCTCCTGGGCGGGGTATCCTGGCGGGATGTATGCAATCGATGTCTTGGGTTAAGATTTATTTGTATGATATCCTGGACCTGGCTCATGTCCAATATCGCCCTGTCCATGTAACATCTCATGTTGACGACATCACCCAATCACAGGTTGGACATATGAAGGATGTATTAAACTCTTTAGTTCCTGCCGCCATGCTGTTGGCCCACCAGCTTGAAGAAGTTGGTTGCACTATCTCTGCCAAGTCTGCTCTCGTGTGCAGCCATGCCGATCTTGGACGCGAGTTGGCCGCCCGTTTCAGGGCGACAGGGTTGCATATCCAGTTACAGGCTGCAACTCGAGATCTGGGGGTCATGACCACGGCAGGGAAAAAGATATATACTGTGAAATTAATGCAACGACGTAGCCAGGCCACTAAGAAGGCCAAGAAGGTTGCGTTTCTCGCCCGTATTGTGGGCTCCGCGAGGCGTTTGTACAAACCTGGGGTCCTCGCTGTTGGTTCGTGGTCCCACCAGGTGTTGGGGCTCACTCCTGGGCAAATCCAGTCTATGAGGGCCCAAGCGGCCATGTGTAGTGGTAGATGGAACCCTGGGGCCTGCACTACCACCGTCCTGGGGCTCATCAGTCCTGCCAAGGATGACTCCCAGTTTAGGCTTCGCTATGAGCAGCTTGTTAGTTTCTATGATAGGTGGCAAGATCTTGGACACACTAAAAGGATGGAGGTTTCTCGTTGTTGGGACATTATTGTTGATAAGCTCAGTAAAACCAAACATCGGTGGCAATGTGTTCGTGGCCCTTTAGCTGCTACAGTCGCGGTGCTGCTCGACCTCAATGTGTTGCCGCATAGCCCAGTGTATTGGATTTGTCCTAATGGAGTGCACATCCGTCCCAGCGACCAGGCCTTCCCCCACACCCTCTGGAGCACGCTCATGGAGGTGTGCGGGGACATGTCGTGGAGCGGGGCTGCTAAACATTATGAAGGAGCTGGTTTAGGAGGAGGAGTGGATTTCACGGCCCCGCGTGCGTTTTTGAAGAGTGACAACTTTAGATACAAAAAATGGCTGATTCATTGAAGCCGCTGGTTATGATTACAATAAGTTTATGACTGCTCGTTTCGCTCACTGCTGGTAGACGGGGTACTGTGCGCTGTGGGTGGGTAGTGGTCAAACTGTGTGGGTAGCTGACTGGTAGAAACGAAGCTTCTCGACGAGGTGGCTACTGCTGAAGGAGTGGGAGCGGGGTGGGAGAGAATGGTGCGCGGTTTGGAGGGAAGACTGACAAAAGAAGAGAGGGCAGTTTGATGACTGTTCGGCTGGTGATGGAGATGGTGGGGCGGGAGTGGGGACAGTGTGTGGTGAGGACACGGCTCTGCGCAGTGCCAGGCGTAAGAGTCTTTTCTACGAATGGCAAGTGCCCTAGGTGCGGCCTCGAGGCCGAAACTGCTGCCCATCGCTTTTGGTCCTGCAGATGTAATGATGATATCCCCGACAGTGCGATCGACCGATCGAATGCCTTTAAAGCTGAAGCGTTGATTTCTCCCGAATCCTCCTGTTTCTGGATGCGTGGGCTCCCGCCCTTATCCGCCAGTGTTGGCCACCTCCCTGAGCCCATGAAGCTTTCCTGGGATTGGGGAACGTTGAGTGCGGGTGCCCGTGTCAATGGGGGTGTTTGGGGAATCGATGGCAGTGGGGGCAAGCATCATAAAGACTGGCGACTAAGGCGATGTGGATGGGCTATCGTCCACCAAGGTCCTGCAGGCCTCTTTGACGGCTAGCCAGTGGAACACTGCCGACTAAGGTGCAGTCTGCTGGTCGTGCCGAACTGTATGCGTTTGTACAGCTGGTGATGCGCTCGACTGGCAACGTCAGAGTTTATTCAGATAACATGGCCGTTGTGAAAGGTGTTCGTCGTCCCCTACGTATGAAAGCTAAATCTGCAATGCTTGATCTCTGGAAGGTCTACCACGATGTTCTGGGGGCTCGGGGCGGCACGGTTGATGTTCGTTGGACTACAGGTCACCCCACCCAGGCTCAGGCGTTTCACATGGTTTTGAATGACACTGAGTTTTACCTCAATAAAGCTGCTGATTTTTTCGCGGGAAAGGCTGCAGATGCTGGCCAGGTGACAGAAGACGAGGCCCGTAGGACCCTTCTGGCCGATGAGCGGGCTTTCAAGGTTTGGGGCCGTCTCTTGTCTGTCCAAAGAGAGGTGTTGTTTAACTCTGATCGTGAGAACGTGCGGCGTGTCGGCCGTACCCGTGCTTCTGTGCGATCAGTTGATGAGCGATTATGCAGACTCCGTGACTCGGGTCATGACTGTGTCACGCGCTCAACGTCCTTTAAGTGTCGCCTGTGTGCCCGCTCGTTCGGACGTCGAGGCCCTCTCTGTGAATGTTGGCCTTGCATATGTAAACCCCGTGCAGAGATAAATCAGCGAATTCAGGCCCTCCCTGCAAGGAGTGCACCTGCCCCTCCTTGTAGGGGGCCCTCACCTCCTCCTGATGATCTTGGGCCGTTGGAGGCGGGGGTGGGTGGGGGAATGGATCATCTTGTGGCAGAGCTATGCCATGCCTCGCATCAGCTCGCCACCCTTCGAGGAGTTTTAGTTTGTCAGGTCTGCGGGTGCCATTGTGTTGAGAACCCGCGGAACCTCAGGTTGGAGCGCATGCCTCCCACCAGGGCTGGCCACGAAGTGCCAGCCGTCTGAAGAAGGGACTGCCTCCTAAGTCTGGAGGCAGGTTCCTTGATTTGTGATGTGGCCCAGCGTGCCCCGCCTAGCTGCAGGTCACCACGCATAGAGGTAGAATAGAATAGAATCCCCCCTCCTCCTCCTCCCTCCTCCTCCTCCTCCTCCTCCTCCTCCTCCTCCTCCTCCTCCTCCTCCTCCTCCCTCCTCTCCTCCTCCTCCTCCTCCTCCTCATCTCCTCCTCCTCCCTCCTCTCCTCCCCCCCCCTCCTCCTCCTCCTCCTCTCCTCCCTCCTCCTCCTCCTCCGCTCCTCCTCCTGCTCCTCCTCCTCCTGCTCCAGCTTATCCTCCTCCAGCTCCTCCTACTCCGTTTCCTGCTCCTGCGGCTCCTGCTGCTGCTGCTGCTGCTCCTCCTCCTCCTCTTCCCTGCTCCTGCTCCTGCTCCTCCTCCTCCTCTCCTCCTCCTCCTCCTCCTCCTCCTCCTCCTCCCCCCCTCCTCCCCCTCCTCCTTCCCCAAGTCGCCAGAGGGTTCAAAAACATGTGCCAGGCGAGCCGATTCACAAAGCACGAAGCGCCCTCTAAGTAATGGGCGAGCCCGTCCAGCGTTAAAGATTCGCCAACGAACTGCTACCCGAGCAAAGCACTCTGATACCGGTATGATGGACAATGGAATGACGGAGCGGTAAGGAGACTGTTGACGTTCCATCACATGAGCCACTGTATGCGAAACCATACGTGTACAGCGATGCGATAGACAATGGGATGACGGAGTTGAGAGGTACCCCAAGAGGCTCCTGAGAGGCTTTCTCGGATCCTGAGATGGTCCTGAAAGGCTCATGAGACGCTCTTCTTGAGAGGCTCTCGAGCAGTCTTTGAGAAGGTATTGGGAGGGCTCTGTTCTGCTCCTGAGACGCCCCTGATGTGGGAACAGCTTTGGACATATCTTCAACCTGAGTTAGCATGCTGGCCAGCGTGGACCTCAAACAGTAGGCTCCCACACTCCCGAAGCGCAATAGTTGTGGCCCAATCTGTGTGGAGCAAAATGTGCGTGGTACAGTCTGCGTGGTGCAACCTACGAGGTGCATTCTAACTGGTGCAAATGATGTAGTGTAGAAAACGGGGTACCATACATTATGACGGCCTTAGAACCATCAATTTGGATGATCGTTGCCAACGCCCGCCTACAATACAGCATCCACCAACCAGCCCGCAGTGCGTTGGCAAAAATCAGCGGGCGACGGTGGGGATGACGACGACGACGACGGTCATAATAATGACGACGGCCTGCTGACGGTGGTGGTGATGACGCTCGCGATGATGGTGACGAGTGTGCCGATGAGGGTGATGACGAAGGGACCGCCCAGAAACCCATACACCCTGAAATGCTGTCACTAGATGTCACTAGTCTTAGGTCGGGCCTGTCCCCCTACAGGGGGATTTTCGACGAAAAATAAAAAACACCCCAAACATAATCCAAACATAATCCGAAAATAGTCCAGGGACTATTTTTTGCATGCTCTTTGGCCTTTTTGGGGCATTTCTGGGGTACCTTTCATTTTACATCGAAAACCCCCCTGTAGGGGGACACGCCCGACATAACACTAGTCGACCATGTTGTTGCCGTGCGTGCTGGAGCACATCTGCGCCGACGCGCCCGCGGAACGGCAACCTCTCGGAAGGACTTTTGACGTGCGCGCGCGGAGGCGCGCGCGGGGTGGCCCGCGTGCGCGATTCCTCTCGGAGGTGTCCGATGTGCCTGCGCGTGTGGTCGGCGTGGTCTTGTTCGACAGCACGGCAAAAACAAAATACGCACATGGTCCCAGCCTCGGACGTATCCCCATCCCTAAGGTTGACACGCCAAGAGGCGATGACAATCTTAGGGATGCGCCCTCAAAAAGTAAGGGGATCCCTAAGATTGGCATCGTGATGAGGAGGTGCCCAGCATAGGGATAGGGATATGTTCCAGGCTGGTAAACATGGTCCCTTGTTATGTTCTCAGCACGGTGCGCGCAGCCGCGATGCCGACTCGCTCCACGAGGAGCCGAAGAAGATATGGACCCAGACGTGCGACGTCCTGACTTTTTCGGGACGGCGTCCCTGGAAGTCCCGACCCTTTCCCCGGGACCGGTGTTTCGTCCAGAACCGTTCTGTTGACGGTCCCGAGGCCCGGCGAGGGCCTCCCGGGGCCGAAGATAGCGACAAACCTCCCGCTCTGATCTTTTACCGACGCCATCCCCTGACTCCGGATCCGCCCTACTTTGTGGAAATTCGTAAGTAGGGCTTGGAATATCCGCCCTACTTTTCAAGCCCCACTGATGCCAATTTCCGCCCTGCTTTTCTGCTGCTGTTTCCGCCCTACTTCTGTGGACTTCCGCCCTACTCTTTGCTGGGTGCAGGCATTTCCGCCCTACTTGTTCGGCCTCTCATATCGGTGGATTTCCGACGCAGCTTTAAGTTGGGAAAAAAGCAAAAAAGTAGGGCGGATCCGGAGTCAGGGAAGCAGGCCCCCTGGCTCCTGATCCGCCGTACTTTGGATGATTTTCCGACCTAAAATTGTGTCGGAAATCGACGCCAAAGGAGCCTCAAGGGCGGAAGTCGACGCTCAAAGGGGCATCAAAAGTAGGGCGGAAATTTCCGCCCTACTTTCGAAATCGCCCAAAGTAGGGCGGATCAGGAGTCAGGGCCGCCGGCCCTTCTGGAAGACGTCGCGTCGCACCGCCGAGGCTGCTCGGCCCGACCGTCGGCACTGCTGCCCGGCTCGAGCCGGCAGTCGGCACTGGCGCTGCGGGCACTGCGAGGGTGCGGCGGCACGGCGCGCGGCGGGGGCTGCGGTCGGGGACGGGGAGGGAGAGGAAGAGGAAGCGGCGGAAAAAGGGGAGGAGGAAGGAAGAGGAGGAGGAGGGAGGAGGAGGAGGAGGGAGGAGGACGGAAGGAGGAGGAAGGAAGAGGAGGAGGAAGCAAGAGGAAGGAAGAAGATGGGGCCGAGGAAGAGGAGGAAGAGGGGGGGGAAG